ACGTCTCCAACTCTAGCGACGTTCCTAATTCTGGGGGGACAGAGTGTGAAGAATTTACGAACGTCGAAGAAACGCCAGAAGAAGTAAAACTTGAACAGAAAACGGATGAGGAGCTATTCACAGACTCAACAGATTTTGAAAGTGCTGATTCTGACTCTAGTACGCGAGCTAACTTAAGGCGCTCTAAAAGAATAGCCAGCAAGCAGAATAAATTTAATTTTGTTGCCAGCGAATGCCCTTCGCAAGATCCTGAATCATTTCACGACGCGATCTCTCGTACTAATGCTGAATATTGGATCCTGGCCGTTAAGGAAGAAATGTCCTCTCTTCGTTGCAACAACACTTGGACTTTGACTGAGTACCACCTGGCAAAAGGGCTATTAAATCAAAATGGGTGTTTAAAACCAAACAAAATGCCAGTGGTAATATTGTTCGACTTAAAACAAGACTCGTTATCAAGGGGTACAGCCAAGAAAAGGCGATGAGACGTTCGCACCTGTTGTTAGGTACACATCCTTCCGGTTATTGCTCGCCTTTGCAGCTAAACACTAATTGTTTATCCACCAGATGGATGCGGTTACCGCATTCTTGAACGCTGAGCTTAAGGAGGAAATTTATATGTTACAGCCAGAGGGCTTCGACGATAAGAGTGGCCGTGTATGCAAGCTTCAGAAGTCGCTGTATGGTCTTAAACAGTCGAGCAGACTTTGGAATGAAACCTTTAACGACGCTTTGCTGAGTATTGGCTTAAAACGCGGCGACATCGACCAATGTGTGTATTATCGAAGAAATGATAGCGAAAAATTATTAGTTGCTGCATATGTCGATGACGTGCTTATTTTTTCAAATAATATGAGCTCGATCCTAAAATTAAAACATGAGTTGGCACCAAAACTCAAGATGAAAGATCTCGGCGAAGCCTCATCCGTGTTAGGTATGCGCATTCAGAGGATAATGCCAAAGGCATAGTCAAGATAGATCAATCTCAGTAAGTTGCTGATTTGCTTCAGTGTTTTGGTATGGCCGATTTCGACTCCGCTTGATCGTAATCAACAAATTAGTGCGAAAATGTGTCCGTCTACTGAAGACGAAAAGCACCAAATGTCAAATATCCCATACATGCAAGCTGTCGGATGTATACTTTTTGCGTCCCAAATAACACGTCCCGACATTTGCTTTGCCGTAAACTTGCTTAGCAGATTTTCCGCGAACCCAGGAAAGGTGGCTCTTAAACGCGTGATGAGGTACCTTAAGGGTACAATTGACAAAGGTCTGGTCTTCACTAGGGATGCAAGTGAAATTAATGGTTTCTGCGATGCAGATTGGGGTAGCGACCTTGACCAACGACGATCGACTACTGGGTATGTGTTCAAATACCAAGGTTGCGCTATTTCTTGGTGTACACGTAGGCAACGCACCGTGGCTCTCTCCTCCACCGAGGCAGAACTCATGGCATTCACTTCAGCAATGCAGGAAGCACTATGGCTACAACGATTTCACGATGAATTGGAAGGTGCAGTAAGACCACTGTTACTTTACTGTGACAATAAAAGCCCTATACAAATTGCAACGAACAACTCACACTCGCCTCGTACGAAACACGTGGACATCAAAAATCAGTTTATTCGACCAAATCTACAAAGTGGCAAAATTATTCTCCGCCATATCTCAACAAACGAAATGGTGGTTGATGTTTTAACGAAAGGAGTTGCCAAGGGAAAACACACGTATCTCTCAGACGCTTTTCGTCTTTTATAGTAAATTCTTTAAAATGTAAAATATATAATATATGTATGTATATGCACGTATGTATACGAATTTTCCTCTTTATATTAAAAGTTAAAAGTGTCATTCAGGAAAGGTGTTATTAACTTGTATGTAATGTGGAATGACCCTTATTAATCTAATAGAACTCTGCTGTATCTTAATATGTCAAATAAAAAATATGTCTTCACTTCCGGTTGAATTACAATTGAGCTAAGCTGCTTTTCTTTTCGAACTCTGCGGATATATATCGGAAAATATTTCAACCATAAACAATTAGATAGTTGAATTATTAAAAATTTAAAAAGCGACCGGCTTGTTAGATATAAATTAATGGCGTTTTCTTTTCTCGAAATAATGTTGGCCTGTTTTCTTCAGTCCTTTTACAGCTTCACGTGTCCATTTCTCAAAATATTACCCTCTGACTGAGCAAAATACTTTCTGCTAATATAACCATTTTTCAGGACGAAAAGTAACCTAGTGCAAATGTTACAATGTTAGGCAGAATTGTTCGACTAACAAAAACGCCATAAGTTTGTAATTTATCGCTTTTTTGTATTTAAGTAATACAAACATGTACGTATAACGACAGTTTCCTTTGTTAAACAAAAATAATTTGTAATGAATTTACCAGTTTCTGATTTGGGGATTTATTTAACGAGTGGTGTAAAGCTTAGCTACGTATAATCCTTATTAATAAAAAAATTCTAATTGCGATTTCTGTAAATATAGCATTGACACGTTAAGTTAAACTTTTGGCAAATAAAATTAACCTTTAGGAAAATAAATTTAATCTTCTGGCAAATAAATTTAATCTTTTGGCAAATAAATTTAATCTTTTAACAAATAAAATTAATCCTTTGGCAAATAAATTTAACCTTTTGGCAAATAAAATTAATCTTTTGGCAAACAAAATTAAACTCTACCATAGTACTAAACAGTGTGTGAAAAAGTAAAAAATACACTAAAAAATTGCTGTTGCTGTGCTAGGAAAGCATTTTTTTTAACTTTTGACGCTTAGCTTTACTCGCCAATATCAAGAGTTAACCTCCAGGATAGCTGAAAATTGTTTTTTGGTTTTTCTGTTCTGTTGATTTGACTGCTCACTCTCAAACAGCATGGTCTCAAATATTCATCAAACTATCTGGCGCATTTAATTTCAACTAAACCACGCATTATGGCCTAATGGGATAAAAACATCTAAACTGCTACAAATCTTGAACTCCCTTAATATATTTTCAAACAAAAAAAATTTATTTAAGTGCATACGCACATATGTACATTAGGGTGCTCATCGAAAAGACCCTACCCCCTAATTTTATTCGTTTTTATTAGAAATATTATTGCCTATTTTTATAGATATTTTATAGGTCATTTAGAGGTCGCGACCTGTCGATTTAGGTTTTGTAGATTTATGAGTTTTTGAATGACTATTTTTGACTCGATTTCAAAGATCGAATGTCATCTGAGAAGAGGATATATAGGCCTTTAAAATGGCATTTAATAATCTATTTTCGGACTTGGCTTGTTGGGATTTTTTATGGAGTAAAACAAAAAAACCCATATTTCTCTTAATTTTTTGAATTTTGACCATTGATAATTTCCACAATTTTAAATTATGTAGTACTGTCTAAAATCAAATCTATTTTCAAAAAAAATGATATTTCATTAATTGCAATCGCTTTAAAATTGTCATATTTAGGAGACTTTTCTTAAATACGGCCTTGAATTTATATTATTTATGTACCGGACTTTCAGATTTTTTGAGCAGTGTGGCTAAGGAATTCATCAATATTTATTCAAAATTGATATATGTACATATACAATCGTTATTTAGCAAAATGGGGGTGGCACCGCCCACTTATATGATATATGCGTATCTCAAAAACTACTTGACCGATCTCAACCAAATCTGGTATACACATTGTGCTTAGCCTCCTTAAGTACCGTCTTGAATATTTTTGAAATCCGACAAAGCCTAATCCCCCTAAAATTTAGCTAGTTTTGTGTTTTTTGATTCCACCGTTACGTTGGTGGAACCCGTGGTTTTGTCCGATTTCAAAATTTCGTTTGCGGCTACGTTTTTATTGTGCCGCCTCGCCATGTTATGTGCGTCTTGTCAGTCAAAAGCATCCCTGTGACGCTGAGAAGAATTTCTATCTGGCGGGGCCTCTGTCCATTATTTTTAAACTTTTTTTTACGGATAATGAATTTTTATATTATTTCATGATACCATGAATTTTAGAAGGTAGTTCCACTTCTTCTCCTTATCCGCCATGATAGCTATCTGACAGAATTCATGTTTTTGTAGTACCAATTAAAAAGAAAAATCCAGCTTTTGACGCTGGAAAAATAAAACAAAGAAAAGGAAAACATATCAGCAGAGAAATTTAAAAATTTTTTAGCTTACAAAGATATTTTTTAAAACATTTTTTTTTTCATAAAATATGCTGCAAAATTAAATGCTGCTTCCGTGGATTTGCGACACGCGGAATAGCTTAAAGGGTACAGCTATAAGAGTCACCCCAGACTTTATCGGCCGCCGATTTAAAATCTTTTAAACAAGAAATATCGCCGTCGCTTTTAGATGATTTTTATTCATGTGATTAGTAGTGGTAGGTATGTATTAAATCCGTATATGTACACTCGTATTACTCATTAAGAGATCAGTTGTGAAATATATAAATATTTACAAGCTCTGTCAAAAAAATATCTAAAATAATAAGCGAAAATCCCCAAGTTCATTATCGTAGTAGTGGCCACATTGCGTGTTTGTCACAGACACAGTTTATGTCAAAAATTTTGAAGTGATAGTACTTCTAGCAGTAATGTCGAACTTATTGCCCAGTATTGAGAATTCTAACCTTATTATTAAAAAGGGCCGACCGTCCATCTGCGACAAATTTATTACCTAGTCACAGAAAATGTGTTTGACTCTAGGCCTGGGAATTTTAGGTCCCACCGAATTTACGATTATTAATTCTAGGCTAATAAAATATGTAAAGGGAAATAAAAAGGTATTTCTCAAAATACATACTTCACTGGTTGGGATTGAAAATGATAAAATTTTTCATTGAATTTAAACAGGATTTAATAAATTGTAAAACATTGTTCACCATGTATCGATGTTTTTCTGGCGATGTTGATTTTTGCCATGGATCGAAACATCGATTCCAAACTTCGTACAAATTTTAACACAGTTCTACATTTAAGAGAAGCAATTTATAAAGACTCACCTCTATCGCCGCATTGTGCAAGTATGCAGATTGTAAGTTAAATGTGAACGCTTCATTCCATATGGGATTAACAGGATCGTCAGATTTGCTAATGCTTGTCTTCTTCTTCTTAACTCTTTTCCCATTTTGAATGAGGTAAATCTATTAGGAATATAAGCAAGAGTTTATTGGTGTTTTGTGTGAATTGCTTTAACCAGATCACCTTAACATAGGGTTCTTGTAGAGTATCTAAGTTCTTTGCCTTCATAATTACAATTGTTAGACGTTCGGCTTGCGGTAAATAGTTAAGCGAACATAAGAGTTCAGGTCGATTTTCTTGTGGCTTCTTGACACGCAACAAGTCCCCCCAGATCTAAAAAAGGATAGAACATGTTTGGCTTGCTTTTATATTAAACCACCGGTACTTTTACCTCCACCGATTTAGACAGATCCAATTCATCTACAGAGATGCGTATCTCTCCGATTATGTCATTGTGAGAGTAACGATCATAATCTAAAACTTGCAATTTGAGTTCTTTGCCTTGGAGCTGGTCGCGTGAAACGGGGAACTTGAAATGCTGATCAAAGTATGGATTTGATTCACCCCGATGTATATGTGTCTGTCGTTTTCGGTTGTCTACTTCAGGCTCAAGCAGAACGCGCACATATGGATCGCGAAAACCTCCCTCCTCAATCGGGCAAAGGTTGTGAGCTTTGCAAAAGAGAAAAAACATCAATGTGAGCAATGGAAAATAATCATACCATAACCTACCTTCGATCAGGTGTACAGTCAAATCGAAAAGATGATAGTCGTATTTCACACGCAAATGCAAGCGTCCAAGAGCTGGACTGGACTCAGGTGCTGTCAAATACATCGGGCCGTCTGGAACACGATACAGGTCGGGCTGCAAAGCACCTAATGGCGAGGCTGGTCCAATGGCAGGGTCCACACCCGCTGGCGTGCGTGGCGGAATTAAGAGAGGCGAGAGACACCGACCGACCTTTGCCGTGGTCATGCTTATATTGGAAGCAGCCGATCCTCCGGCTATCGAGGCGAGGCTACTTTGAGAGGGGCTGGGCGTACGCAAGTCACTCACATCAGTCGAAGCGGGACTACCGCAACGGGCATCAAGTGAAATTGTACGCATTGGACTTGGTGAACGAGCTAACTGCAAGTACGGTTAGAGTGTTGGAAATAAGTCCATTTTATTACCATAAGATATGCATTTAACTTACGTGATGAGGAAAGCCGGGGTCGGCCGGATGTGAGCTTCGTCCATCGGGCCCGAATGTACGAATCTGAGGTGATGAGCCACGGTGTGCCTTGAAAAGAAATTTAGAACTAGTTTGGGTAAACGAAAAAAGTTAAATGCTTTTGCTTTTACCGAATGTCTTGATGGTGCGCTATCCACGCTCGATTGACTAGATATAGATGGCGTGCGCTGCAGGCGCGGAGGAAAAGAACGACTCTGGTGATGTAAGTGTAATGGGCTATGAAGAGCCTCTGTCGGACCCCGCAGCACGTCTGCATTTATAATGTGAGCTGAACCGCCCAAAGTGGATGGTGGTTGTATGGGCTGTGTCTCTTTCACGACATTCACCTCCTGTAATATGAATAAAAGGATATAAATATGAAAATATATGTTTATTGATAACTGTAAATGGGCAAAGTTTCTCAAAAACCTCAGAGTCCGTTGGTAAATCATAGCTATCGCTGACGCTTCCCGCCCCACTGCCAATCCCACTGGTGGTCGATGTTACCGACGAAGCGGATGGTGGTGGCGTCATAGGCGGTGGCGGCGGTGTGGATGACGCAGATGTCGTCGCACCATTATTATCTTCCGAATTGCGATCGAGAGTTACGCGACGCACGGCGCCGACACGCTCCTTGGCCATACGCGACCACGATTCGATACGTTTGTGAGCAAGCCAGCAGGCGGCGGGTCCGAGACCGCTCATTCTCTCGAAGAGGCTGATGGCGGATGTGTTGATTGAAAAACGGTATGGAATTGTGTGGAATTATTTTTTGATTGGTAATTAGAAGTTTTGGGCGGCGTTGTTACAGAGCTTTTTCAGCTATAGTTCTTTTCACAGTTTGAAGAAAAGTTGCATGTTTTTTGTTAAATCATTTCGCGGTTTAACGACGGCTTCTTTTGAAATTTAGTTATTGATAATTTAATAAAATATCAAGTCACTGATCTCATTAGAAGTACCACCGCACTATATTAAGATCGAATTTTCTACAAATCTAGTTATACATATACTCGTACCTATACATGCACTGTAAAATCTTCTTATTAGCGAAACACATTTGATGGCAGCCCTATCACTGCAGTCATTTAATTAGTTTTAAATTATCCTTATCAAATTTGTTCATGCACGTATGTATGTAAATACATACATGACCAAGAATGTGTGCATAATAGAAATATTTATTCTTCAATTTATTTCCACGGCGATAAAGAGAATGTACTCAACCCGAAACCGTTTATAATCTGAAACTCGAAAGAACCAATGTCGAATTTTGAGAGTTGTCTGATTGGATTTTTCACCCTGAGATTTTGCGCCTTCCGATCGAATTTCGGGGTCAGGGTTTGCCACAAACATCTCAGGGTTAGGGAAAAATTTTAAGTTTTTATACTTTTGTTTGTTTTCAAGAAACAATTTAATTTTTACACCAAAGATACTTAGATACCGCCAATTTACTTTAATAGTGCCAGAATCGAAGATAATACTAATTCGAGTTCTCTAAGTGTGCAGAAATTATCTCTACCTGTTATTCTATGTTGTGTAATTTCATTGCTGTATCGATTATCAACAGCTCACTAGACCATAATAAACTCCTCCCAACAACTATAGCACATTTGGTTTGGGCTAGGAAAAGTTTGGCCTGTGCGGAATAGGCTAGTTTCTATTTAAAAGGCACAATGTTCCACAAAGAGAAACGTCAAGTTGGATGAGCACTGCCAACAGCGAGAGAAAGAGAATGAGCGATAAACTTCAGAGCGTTCTAGAGTTGCCATAAGTGCGAGCGCAGGTATATAAGGGCGCCGCCACAGTGAAGTGAGTTAGTTACAAGTCAGCAAGCTACAAGTAAAGTGAGCAGAGAAGTGAGTTGCGAATAAGCAAGCACAGTTTTCAGATATTCGTTGCAGCTACAAGCACAGAAGACACACGTATCACAGTTGCTGGAAGTGCAGGATTCAAAGATTACCCAAATGCAGGAGAATTTGGATAGAAATAACGAACAAATCAAGGATAGACAGGATAAAGTCGAGGCTAAGGTAGAAGAGTTGGAAGGTCGCCTCCGAGATTTGCAGATGAATCGTCCAGCTACTTCGACAAGTGCTCCCAAGGTAAAGACTCCATCCTTTGACGGCACTATTCCTTTCCAAGTCTTTAAGCTCCAGTTCGAGAACACAGCTACAGCAAATCGTTGGAGCATGGAGGATAAATCCGCTGCTCTGTTCGTGGCATTAAAAGGACCTAGAGCCGAAATCTTGCAGACTATTCCCGACTGTGAAAGGAACAATTACGATGCCTTAATGGGTGCAGTGGAAAGACGTTATGGTAGCGAGCACAGGAGACATATTTACCAGATGGAGCTAGAGAATCGCTGCCAGAAAGCCAACGAGACTTTACAGTAATTCGCCTCCGAGATTGAAAGGCTCATTTGGCAATTGGAGATGCATCTGGTAAGCACCTCAAAAGAGTAAAAATCCAGAGGTTTATCAACGGAATGCGAGACGTGTATACCAAGCGAGAGACGTACGCGAATCCCAAGCCAACATTTGCTGAAACTGTCTCGTATTCTCAGACGCGTGAAACGGTGGCGCTCCTAAGTAGACTAGCCTACAAAGCACGTCGCGTGGAAGTGAAGACCGGACGAGACAAAGGAAATGCTGAAGAGGCTTATCCAACTGCTGGGCGAGAAAAAGCATGGCTCTGGTAAATGTTTTAAAGCCAGGCCACTTCGCCGGCGGTTGCAGCGCAAGTTCCAGTGGGCTCAACAATTCAGCAGGACGCAAACGCAGGGCTGAAGGAGACGAAGCCAACTCCAATCATTCGTTAAACTGAAACGAGCCAGCAGGAAGGGCCGCGTGCTGGCTCCAAAAGTTGAAGGGCCCATAATCTCCATCTCACAAATTGGCCGGAAAGCATGCATCCTCACTGTTGATGGATGTGTGAATGGGCAGGAGAGAGTACTGACAGTGGATGCTGGAGCGAAACATTCCATTATTCGACCGGATTTGGCCACTTTTTATGTGAAGCCACTACCTGGAGAAAAGCTGCAGACTGCAACTGGTGAATGCACCCAAGTGTTAGGAGAAGTACAATGCGAGGTAATAATCGACGGTGTGGCCTCGTACACTAAGTTTATAGTGGCAGACATTGTGGATGAAGTCATCATCGGCGTGGATTTCTTACTTGGCCAAGGCATGAAGATTGACCTCCAGAGAATGATCCTGACATATCGTCACAGGAAAGTGCTACTTAGGGTTGGTTACGACAGCCATTGCTGCAGCAGACGCTTAGTCTTAGAGGAAGTGTCGAAGATTCCACCAGAAACGGAAGTGGCTAGTTGGGCAGAGGTTGACAGTGATGGAGACGAAATGGTTTCGTCAGAAGAAGGAAGTGGTTCACCGATACAGGAAAAGCGTGACGGTTCCGCCAGCTCAGTGAAAAAGAGGTCGCAACAAGGAAGTGGTCATCCAGGCAGCGTTTCCGGCTGGAGGAAAGCCGCTAAACCACGTTGCAATGGTGATACGCCGGTGGCCGCAAATGGAAGCAGCTGTGGGAACAGTAGGCGCGCTGTGAAGTGTCCCGAAAAAGGTGGTCGGCAAAGGCGAGCAGTTAAGCCGGAAGCCAAGGATGAGGTTATACATGTTCGGTCAATGAGGTTGACACCGGCAAAGGAGCAAGATGCGGAAACACTGGGCAAGTTTCAGCGTGAGGAACCGGATTTAGCAAGATATGCTAAACGCAGTGCAGCACGAAGGCAGGGTCCTGGGGTGTCATGGACAGAGGATGCGGCATAGATCTGGCAAAAGGGGTGCCCACAAGAGGAGACATGGTCTGGTCACCACCAGTGGCCGGCAGAAGCACGACCATGTGAGATGGTGCACCACCGGAGATAAGCTGGAAGCAATGTCCACTAACGCATCGAGCCCAGAGGAGCTACAGGAAGGCGATTTGGTGTTTTTGCACATGCCGCAGCCGAAGAAAGGCATCAACTCCGAACAACATCGTAACTGGAAAGGTCCGTATAGGATTGACAAGCGGCTGAAGGACGCAGTGCATCGATTCCAGACAGCTGGTAGACCGAGAACCAAGATGAAAGACTAGCGACGTTTGGAGCAGCAAGTGTGGCTGATCGGGACGATCAGACTTAGGTGGAGGGCAGTGTGGCGAATACTGTGGCAACGCGAAGCGAACAACGAGAAATAGGCAGAATGTTCGAGGAATGACGTAGAATGTTCCACAAAGAGAAACGTCAAGTTGGATGAATACTGCGAACAGCGAGAGAATGAGAATGAGCGATAAACTTCAGAACGTTCTAGAGTTGCCATAAATGCGATCGCAGGTATATAAGAGCGCCGCCACAGCGAAGTGAGTTAGTTACAAGTCAGCAAGCTACGAGTAAAGTGAGCAGAGAAGTGAGTTGCGAATAAGCAAGCTATAAGTTTAATTGTGTTAACAAGTTTAGTAAAGCGTTGTTATTGCCTTAACAAGTATTGTAAAGTGTTTTTACTGTATTAGCGAGTATTGCAAATTGTTGTTGTACAATAAAGTTCATTGTACTACAATTTGGTCATCGTTAGCATTTATTTAACAATCCAGCGATACGAACCAAGAGACTTGGGAAATCCGGACGAGGTTTCAAGGATAACCGCAACAATATTGTTGCCTAAATACGATTTTGAGGGCAGATAACACATGCAATTCGCTGCAAACGTATATGTGGCAGAACGCGGCAACCCGAATCATCAAGTCGTTCGGACAAAAAATCAAAATCAATTTGATTCGAACAATGAGTGTTCAGCAGTGATCGGAGTTTTACCACATTGTGGTAGATTTGCTACTTTTTTGAGCATCTACCACACAAGGTCTGAAATCTACTGCATATTCGCCTTTTTGAGTAGCTAGTTTTATTTTTTCTCGACATAATTTTCTTAATTTTAAGAGAAAAATTTGTCCAACAGTAAACACTATATGGTAACAAGAGTTATATAATACAAGATTCCGGATTCCCGGCGGCGACGAAATTTCTCAAGTAAAAGTAAACAAAGCCGAATGGGAGGATAAAATAAATTGTAAAATAGTAAATTTTTTCAATAATAAATTTTTCGACAGGAAACAAGGTTTTATTATGTCACATAGCAAAATATATGATTTATAAAAAGAACTAATAGCGAAAATGTTATAAACGCCGATTCTTGTGAAAATGTTAGCAAATTTCAGTGCATCTAAAGTTTCTGAGGCATTGTTTACGTTTACTTGAGCATTGTCAAAATCGGCAAACCCCAAGTAGAGGTTTCTGTAACGTGCCACATTTGTTCGCTACATCCTGATGTGATAAAAAGAAAAGCTGGCAGCACTCCGCAAGGTGGCAAAATATGTTAAAAAAATATCTTGATATGGAAGTAACTGCTTTACACTGTCAAGGAAAAAAATGCCAAAACTCAACGCAATCTTTAGCAAATTCAATCTTGCACTTCATTAAACTAAAATCAATTTTTTTAGAGTCTAATTAAAAAGCTTTCAATTTAAGGGAAACTTTGCAGAACTTTTTTAATTATTATAAAAAGTTTGATCCAAAACCTGAGTTCAACCACATTTTTTTGAAATATACCACATTTTTTCCATATTCTTCCACATAGCATTTTTTGAAGTGCGATCACTGGTGTTCAGCACATTTTTGTCGCGCTCTCAGTGAGACAAGGCGGGAAAGGAACGCGTTAAATTAGTAACAAAAAGTGTCCGGGCACGAACGGTGAATCCGCCTTTATATGTTGTCTAATGGTGATTTCGTTTCTACCAAAAAATTTTGCCTTTTGATTGTCCCTCTCTTTTTTCGTGTTCGTTTCTAAATTATCGTAAATTATAGTATCACGATATCGAACGGAAAGTATCGATATGGTACTCATTTAAAGTATCGCTGTAAAAATATCGGGTACCCATTAATATCGGAATGAAAAGACTCGATATCCCAAATATCGATGCCAAAATCCAAAAAATTTCTCAAAATTGGTGTCGTATGTAGCCCGCTGTGGTGTAGTGACCAGAAGTGTGCAAACCTTCGAGTGTATTTCTGCCCAGAAAAACAGCTTCTCATAAAAAAAAATACAATCGCCGTTTAGAGTTGGCGTAAAACAGTAGGGACCCCCTTTATGGCACAACACCAAGGCCACGCGACAAATCGGAGGAGAAGCTCGGCCAAACACATATTGTGTAAACGCCAATCTATTGTTATTTTTACACGTAGAGATGTTGA